TGGAGGCAGGAAGAGCTCCCGGTCTGGACCACAAAGCGCTCATACCTGTCAGGGGCTCAGAAACGCTGCTCTCCTCTGTCCCACAGGCCAGAAACACATCCACAGTGTCCTGGTCTGACAGGTCCATCATGTCCATCTGCTCCAGCACGTCCACATTCACCTCCATGGAGGAAATGCTCCCCAAGGGGGCTGCAGAGACAGAGGTCAGCAAAATGGTGAGTGCTAGTGTCAGGCAAAGAGCACCAATAGCCCATGCAAGCCTGTCTGGCCCATGGATTTCATGAAGAACTCCAAAATGGGAGGCCAGCCTTGCAGTGGAGAACCAAATTGCACCTGCTGGTAAGAGGTCCAAATGAGAATCACATTTGCTTAAAACATCCCCTGGAAAACTCTGCTGTCGCCACAATCCCTGCTCCCGCTCCAAACTGCTGTCTGGAGAGCCAGTGACTATGCAGGCAGCCAGCCTGGGTACCCCAGTTCAGTGCCTTTGTTAAGTGGAGTGAGTAATCCATGTGCACACCCACACGCAGCATGTGTGGCCCTGTCCGTGCAGGACATGCTGTCCCTGGCTGCCATTTAGGCTGGGGACATCCTGCCAATCTCTAATCTGTACCTGCTCCCTGAAGCATGTCTAGTCCTGCTCCGCTACCCACAGCACTTACGTCTCCGATGCTCCAGCTGCAGGTGAGACACGGGGAAGAAGAAATCCACTTCATGCTGGAAAACCTCCTCAAAGAATTTCTGCCGCTCCCGTAGTTTCAACTGCTGCTGCTGCTGCATCTGCTCCGCATCCAGGCTGCGCTGCCCCGGCTCCATGTCTGGGGAAGAAGGCAAGGAGGGTCAGGCCAGGCGGGCTGACAAGCCCTTCTGCCCATGTCTGCTCACTCGGCACTGGTTAGGTGGTTCTCTCTGCTCTGCTTTGCACATTGATCTGGTCACTATGAGTGGATGTTATGTGCAAGAGTGGCAGTGGCACTTGCCATGCTGGAGTCGGCTCTCACTTCTGAGTGTTGGGAAGCCAGGAGCTGGGAGCTCATACGCTGTTTTCACTGCTGCTGAAGTAAATTATGGTGGGGGGAAAGGGTGTTGATGTGAGATCAGTCATTTTAAGCACATGTTTAAAATTCATCTTTCTTGCTGCAAATCAGTGTTGTCTGCGAACGTTAACATGCAGGGGGAATTCCCTGAAACAAGAATTGGCATTAGTGCTCCAGGCTTCCTGGGCTGAGGAATGCATAAGGAATAAAAAGCATTAGCAGCCTTGTTACCCCTGCACACGCTCACTCCCACTGCCCCCCCTGCCGCCACCATTGCCATAAATACAGCCGCACCCACGCTCGCAGGCTCCCCCACTCACATCCCCTACTTGCACAGCCAGCTTGGCTTCTGCCTGCACAAACATTTTCATTCCTGTAATTCCTCCTGCAGTTCAGCGCCGGTGCCTGTGTCCCTGGCTCACATGGGAGTGAAGAAGCCCTTGGGCAGTTGTTGAAGGAAAGCAGCAGGGAGTTGTTGCTGCATCCCAGGACCTGGTACATCCCTTTCGGGTTGGGTACCCACAATGGCAAGGACCCAAATGCCACAGATGAACCATGGCCAGTGGCCCTGGCTGCTCCCAGGCTGGTGTTTGACCTCAGTTGTTCCAGATTTCCTCCCTGCAGCTCTTGGCCCAGCCAGCACAAGGAAAATGTGATTACTGGAGCAGGCAGTGCAGTAACCAAGGAAACCAAACAAACATCCCCTGCTCTGAGCACAGCCCAAACCCTCCACTCCTCGGGGTGGGGTGAAGGGAATCAAGCAGCAGGCAGCGCCCAGCATCCTCTCCCTGTCTGGTAGAGCAGGGGCAGAGACAGCAGGTGGTTGTCAGCAACGCTTAGTGCCAGGACACAGACTGGAGGGAGGTGGTGGGCCTGGTGTGTTATTCTGGGGATAAATGTCACATCATCTCAGAAGTCTTTTAGGGCTTCTGTGCCCTCTGCATGCCATTCTCCGGGGCATCCTTCGGCTGAACCACATTCTGCATGCAGCACAGAGCACTCAGGTCTGGTCATCACACACTTCCTGGAAGCAGATGCGGTCCTCAGCAAGGCAATGCCAGGGCAGCAATCCTGGCTGCCTGAAGGGGCCTTTGCTTTGCTGTGTCTGGCCACTGGGCAGCCATACAGGTGTAGAGCCCAGGCTGATAGCCGTGATGGCAGAAGCAGGGTTCAGGTTTAGCTTTCATAGCTGCATTCCAGTGCTGCTGCAGCACCTTCCCAAAGATACCCTACTTTCAAGGTAAGATGGAGGGTTTCTAAATTCTCCTCCAGTACAAATACAAAATAAACCAAATGCCAGCAGGTGCTGCCTGTAGTGCCATGAGCTCGGCTGATCCTTGCCATTCACCTTCCCGCTGCCCCTCTCTTCCCCACCACGTGACTGATACATGGGATAAGGGCACGATGGGGTCAGCCAGGACAAGTGCTGGTGGCAACATTCCTGTGGTGCACAGCGAAGGCATGCCGGGATTTCTCTTGTGGGAAGAATTAGCCGGACCTGTTTTGTTTTTTTTTTTTAAATGAACTTGTTTTCAAGCTCTCGCTGGGGTGCTGAGCACGAGCTCTGAGCTGCTATTATGTGCATAACACAGCAGCTGCACAGCTCTGCCCTGCCTGACCCGTGACCACGGTGAGAGTCGGGGATGGAGCCTTCCCCGCCTCCCAGGGCTCTTCCGGGCACACAGGGAGCAAACAGCCCCACTAGTGTAGCTGCTCCCCAGCAGTGCTGGCTGAAGACATAAAGGAGAGCAGCGTTCCCTGCCGCTGCCCTTCGCCATGTGACGGCCGGTCATGCTCCCACTGCCAGCGTGGGGATTGTCTCATCCTGCTGGCATGTTCCCACCGAGCGACACGCTCACACGCACAATGCGGCCCCTGTGCTCCGCGGAGGATTTGTCAGTACCTGCTGGTGGCCTGGCTTTCGTTACTATTGTCATGGTTATTGCTACAGCCTCTCAGCCATGGGACCAGAAGCTTATCTGCATGCACAGCCAGGCCCTCCCAGACGGCAGGGCCACGAGCACCCTGCTGCCCGCAGATCCTTCCGGCTCTCACAGCTCGCTGGGCTGTGTGAGGAAGGGACAAGCTCCAGGGATGCTGCTGGCATGGGGTGAGGGCAGAACGGAGTTCAAGGGAGCACCGGCTGAAAGGTGCCAAGCCTTCACTCAGGCTGGGAGCAGAACGTGTTGCCGTTGCCTGGCTGTATTTCTGTGGGAAATGGACACATTTTGCATTTCTCCTTTTCCTGCAGGATTTCAGTACAAACCCCCTCTGGGCCGGTGAATAGAAGGGGTGTATTTTGGGCTAGGAGAAGGCTTGTTAGTGGAGGCACAAGGCCAAACGGGGGTGGGAACAGCCTTTTCTTCAGCTCTTCAATTCCTTGAAGAAATTTCAAAGGAGCCAAGATTATTTTTCAGTAGGGAAAAAAGGGGTTGAGGAGAGTTCAAATGAGGGGTCACACCAAGCATGGTTCCCTGTTCCCTACAGAACAAATGAGTGGGAGCAGTCTAGCTCAGCTACCTCAGCCCTTCTCCCTGCACTTGCCCTGGACCAAAACCTGACCCTGCACTTCTGGAAAGGATCAGGGCACCCCCAGCTGCCTGGCTTGCAGGACATGGGGAGACTGAAGCAGGGAAGATGCAGCTCCTCGACTGACACAGTATCCTCCAGGCAACCCTGCAGAGATATGGGCCTCTTCTTGTCCGCCCTGCCCCAGCAAAAACATGGCAGAGCAAGGGTAAGTCCCAAGGGCTCTCTGCTCCTTTAGCCTAGGGAGAAGCAGCTGGAGTGGAAAGCTGGGAATGCTGCAGAGAAGCGTTCAGGGTCATGCACGTGGAAATGGGATACTTGGACACCATGGCCGCCTGAGCATGAATTCCCTGCCCGGTCCCTTCTCAGTCAGCTTTCCTGACCTCGTGTCGCAGCAAAGCAAAAAATAACCACAGCCTTGGTGAGAGGAAATGCACCAGAAGAGTGGAAGGGAAGCGGTGGTTTTGGCAGAGCCGTTTGCTGGGAAAAGCGAGGAGAGCTGAGACGGGGAGGACGCGGCACTTTATAACCCCTCTGTACAGCGGTTTCAACGCCTGCACTCCTCCAAGGCATCTCCAAATCCCCTGCGTCTCAGCACTAAAAATATCCCTGCCGCCCAGAGCTCTTCTACCCAGCAGAGGCTGTGTCATAAGACCCTGCTATTTACGGGGCCCTGATTCAATTCTTACAGCCGCGGGAGGACGAAAAAGCCGCGAGGGCAGCACGGCGTGGGGAAGGGAAAGGCTCGGCGCGCAGACGGCTACGGCTCCCAGTCGTCCCACACCGCTGTTCGTGCTTTGCTCTGCTCGCTCTCTTCATCCCTTAAGCCCTGCTGGTGCGGGGGCACCTGGTGCTCCGGGGGGCTCACGGACAGCCGCCTCTGCTCCTGTCCTGTGGCTAACAGGTCCCCGAGCTCAGTCGCTTCCCAAGCAGGTGCCCCCACTGCGCATCCCCATCCCGGGCTCGGGGCTTTCCACGCATCCCCCTTCCGAAGCAGCCGGACCGGCAGGCTGCAGCTGCGGGGCGAGCCAGGATTTGGGCTGGTAGGACTTCGAGAGGGGCATCGCCGCTCGGCAATCAGCCCTTACAGCACGTTACAGGGCAGACCCCCTCCCGACCCCGCTCCCCCTCCCTCCGAACGCTCCCCCGCACTCCGCCTCGCCCAGCACTCACCGGGCAGCCGCCGGCTGCGGCTCCGAGCCCCGGCGCCCGACATACGGCGGCGGCTGCTGAGCCCGGGCCGGCTTCAGCGCGGGGCTGCCGCTCGCCCATGGCCGCGCTGCGGGGCGGTGCTCGGTGCTGCGGGGCGGTGCCAGCGAGCGGGCGGTGCGCGGGACTCGGGGGGCTGCGTGGATGCTGGAGCCCGGCGGGGTCTCTGCGGGTCTGGCTGCCGTGCGGAGGTCCCGTTGCAAGGGATGAGGATGCACGCTCTGCTCGCTGCGTCCTTTATTGTTATTGGTTTTTTTTTTTTTCCTCTGGCTAAAAGGAATCGCCGGGCGCTGTTTGCATCCTTCTCCTGCTGCCTTTGCTGTCTGCCCCACTTGCTAGAAGCTGGGCTGAGCTGGAGACCTGTTGCCTGTGCTTCCCACAGCTGCTGGTGTCACCTCGTGCAGGTGATGTTGGTGACGAGGGGTGAGCTTTGGTGTGGATGTGGGTACCTGCAGGCCTGGCTTGCACCAGGCAGTGTGCCCACCCTGTCAGCCACCCCCGCTGACCCTTGCTGAAAACACGAGAGTAGGGCCAGGGAATGAGCTCAACTCTGTGCTATGTGCAATGTCTGCACCCATTGGCACCGCTTCCCATCACAGCACACTGAAGCCGCTCCCTTGCTCAGGATTCCCTCCAGCACCCCAAGGTCCCTGGGGCTCTGTGCTCCCCATGTCCCCACTGTGGGCACAGCACTGGTGGTGCTGAGGGACCCACATGCAGGCATCTGTATGCTCCATCCTGCCTGGCTGGAAGGGGGCTGGGAGCCATGATATCAGCCACCCACAGCCTGACTCATCCCAGCTCTCCAGCACAAGCAGTGCAGCTCAGCAGGGCACTCATTTCGTTTAAACTGATAAGGCCCCACACAATGATTTTCACTCGTGACCAAGCGTGCCTGCTCCTTACCAGAGGGCAAGAGGGGACACTGAAGGTGACAGGGAGTTCCCACTCGAAGTAGGGAACCCTGAGAACAAACCTCTGATTGATACCCACAGGGATGGAGCCAATTGTGCTGCTGGGGCAGGCCCATGGCATTGTCCTGTGCCACCCTAACCACAGTGCCCTGGTCCCTGGGAAGTGTCCCCAGGAGATCCGGGTCACTGGCCCAGGTAGGGAATGACACATCTTCTTTCCGGGACACAGAACTCAGCTCCTGCCAAAAATCCTCAGGGGACCCAGCATCAAAGCGTGGTCGTCATCAGGGGAAAATGCAACGTGACTTGTTCCTCCTGCTGCTCCCGGTCAGGTTTCTTCCTTCTATTACAGGTTTGCAACAAACAGGAGGTGAGTCAGGGCGTGTGGGGCGGGAGGTGAGGATGGAGCTGGGGAGGGAGCAGCTGCACAGTGAAAGGTGAGCTGGTGCTAGGCAGGTGAATCATTCCGTGGGGAAAACCGATCGTAATCCTCACAGGCCGTGCTGGCAGTGAGGCACAGCTTGGCTCGTTCGGTAAATTGCAGAGCAAAGAGAAAAACAAGGCAAGGCTTTTTTTTTCTGAGGCAATAAATTGTGAGGGAGCAGCCTGCAGAGCTGCAGCAGCCGCATTCCCTGGGCTCCTTAAAAGGGAGATTTTAGTCTGGGACAGCAGGGAGAGAGCAAAGCCATAAACACCCTCACAGGAATGTGGCTGCTGAGAAATGAGGCTCCCACAGCACTGGGGGGAGCAGGGCCATGCTCTTGGCCGTGCCCCAAGAGAACACCGGTGTCCTCAGGTCTGGTGGTCCCCAGGGGGCTCTGACCTAGTGCTGTGTCCCTGCATCCCAGGTCCGTGCCCTGCAGACATCCCCATGGCTGGCTGGTGGCATGGGATCTGGTAGAGCTGCAGGGCAAGGCATGGCTGCTCGCATCAGTGACTGCCCTGTGCATTTGGGGGGGTTCCCTTTCTACTCTTTTAATCTTTTCACTCCCTCAGGATCTACAGACTGCCCCTCCGGGATACTTGTTTCTGACATCATAGCCCTGCACTTTTTTCCCACACCAGAATGTGTTGCATTTCTGTTGAAGCCAGCTGGCAGGGATGGCTGCATGGACGCTCAGATTGGAACCACTGCCATTGAATGGGCTGCCAGAGCTGGGTGAAGGCATGGCTCACCGCGAGCCCTGCAGCACTGGACCTGTCATGTCAATGTCACCACACAGCCTCAGCCCCCAGGGAGCCAGGAGACACTTGGCACAGGGCTGGGGGCAGTGTGGAGCTGGGACAGATGCTGGTGTCCAGAAGGACCGCAGAGGAAGAGCCATCCCAACACACAGGGTACAGACAAGCATTGTTTGCCACTGTGTTCTTCTCACCCTTAAGCTGCTCCATCCCTGTACCCCTATTGAGCTCTCTCTCCATCAAGCTGATCTCCCATTGAGCTGTCTCTCTGTTGATCCATCTCTGCCATTACAGGGCTGTCCCCATTCTCTTTGCACAGCTGGGTGCTGGGCCTGGAATTCTAGTGTCACAGAACAGTGAGGTCACAGCCCATGACACTGTGGCCACCAGCAGTGCCAAGAACAGCCCCCAACACCTCTCCCCACAGCTTTGCATTGCCATCTGAGGCCACAAAATGAAATCAGCTGCACCCAGAATGAAATCAGCTGCACCCCAGGAGGTACAACGCTGTGGCATGGCACTGCACTCCCCGAGCCACCACCATGGGGACATCACAGGGAGGGGACCCTATCAGAGGGGTTGGGGTCTCCATGTGCCTTTGGCAATACCATGATCTGGGAGAAGGCCCCACTGATTTGCCCACCCCTTGCTCAAATTAAGCATCTCTGCTTGGGGTGCTGCGTCTCCAACAAAGCCCAGGGCAACCCAGTGAGATGGATGCTCTCTGAGATGAGCTTGGTGCCACCCTAACCCTAACTGTGACCCTGTGACCCATCGCTGTTTTCTCCCCCTCTCAGGCTGGAGACCCAAGGGACAAGCCCTGCCCGCTGTGCATCGTGGAGCAGAAAAGTCGCCTCTGGAAAGTAAGGGTCCCTTGGCATCACCACAGGGGCTGTGGGGCATGGGATGGTCTCTGAGCCCTACCCCTGTCCTCCTGCCCCACAGACACTGAAATCACTGACACTGCTTCGGCTGCTGAAGAGCACAAACCGCAGGGTGCAGCGGCTGCATGCAGTTGCTGTGCACTGCTGGCACTCGCTCACAGCACAGGGGCTGCCCGGCATCACATCACTGCTCCCCAGGTAGGTGGGGGTGCAGAGTCCGTGCCCCAGCCCTGCTGCTCTGCTGGGAAAGGACTACAGCAGGATAAAGCCCAGGGGTGTGAATTAGAGGCAGTTTGGGGTGGTGCGGGGAGGGTGCTGGGTTCCGCTTTAATGGAGGTGTGCAGACAGGTGCAGCCCATTGGGTGCACTGAGCCATGACCACCCGCACCCGGTGCTGGCATACAGCCCCTCTGGGCAGCACAGATGCAGGATGCTTTTCGGTCTGGGCTTAGGGAATGTCGCCACCTGCCAGAGCTGGAGGAGGCTGTGGACAACACTGAGACCAGCTCGACCAGCAGCATCGTGGATGCACCAATGGACTCAGAGACAAGCACACCACCAGCAGCTGTGGAAGCAAAGCGGGACTTATTGAGGACCCTTCCCCAGCGCTTCCACATGCCAGCCCCCAAAGTGCTGTGCCGGCCTTCAGCCCAGCGCTGGGTCAAGCCCTGCTGCACCCGATCCTGCGGAGAGAGCTTGGAGCGCACGCTCACCATCCACTACTCCCGGTGACCACCATTGGTATGAGCACTGTCCTCACTGAGCAGGGCCACCCCCCTGAGCTCCAGCACAGCTCATCAGCTGCTGGCTTCACTTTCAGGGCTGCCTGAGGAGTTGGAGAAGAGCTGCCAGGAGACCTGTGAGGTGATGCGCTCAGCCTTCTGCTATGAATAAAGGGGGTGGCCTATGCCTTACACTGGCTGTCTGCCTCAGAACTGCTTTTAGTTTGACTCTCCACTGTGCCTGTAAGAGGTTTCTACTTGCTTTGGATTCAGGGGATGGAGAATGCTGGGGTGCAGCCCCCCCCAGGTGCAGGGATAGATGTGTACAGAGAGGAGGAGGTCTCTCTTCCGGGCACCCCAGGACACACTGTGCTCATGCCCATGGGGCACAGACACCACCAGCCCCCATAGTGATGCTGTCAAAGTTCCAGAAACCTCCTGCTCCCATCTGGGCTGGGGTAACCAAAGAATGACTCATTGGAGAAAAGCCAGGATCAGGCTGTAAAGATGCACAGTACCATGTAATCCCCTTAAGGATATTACAGCAATGGGAGCTGCTGGTGCCAGAATCAACAAAGAACGTTTTATAGCTGGAGGTGCTGAAGTTGAAGGCTTTGAAGCCACACACACTTCAGGCTTTGTTCAACGTGATGCACTGGGTTACCCAGGAGGCTCAAAGCACACAGCCTGAGGGTGGCTGCAGCCCCACAGCAATGGCAGCTCTCAGAGCAACACTGGGACAAGCACAGAAAGCACCAAATGAAGAGCAAGAGCACAAGGAGAGAGCATGAACCCAGAGCAATGCTTACTCTGCCCAGGTCTCCACTGCTGGAAGCCCCTACTGCACATTTGGGGTGACACGTGAGAGCTGCAGTCTGGTTTGACAGTGGCTTTCGGCTCTGCACAGAGCAGTGCATCGTGCACAGCACACCGGGGCCAGTCCAGCAGATGGCACTCGGATCGCATGGTGCTGGGCTGCACAGCATGGAGCTGCACAACAGAGGGATTCGTGGAAAGGGACAGGATTGCACAAGGCTGAGAATCCTAGGAAGGGACAGGGCTGCACAACTGAGGGTTTGTGGGAAGAAGCAGGGTTGCATGAGTCTAGGAAGCTTAGCAGAGGATGGGGTGTATGTGGGATGCCTGGTGCACTTAACCCTTGAGACCCCAAATCCCACAGTTTCCCATGCAGCTCCATGTGCTGAGCTGCATTTTCCCAGGCTAGGGGGGTGAGTGCTGGCAAAGGGGTGTAATGGTGTCCATGGGCACAGGGAGCTTAGATGTGAGGTGCAGGCTGCATGCAGCCATGAGTGCTAGCAAAGGGCTGCAATGAGAACTGCTCTGCCTGTGGGCACTCATTAGCGATGGTTCAGCCTCCTTGTTAATTAACCATGGCCAGATCCACTAATTATCTATGGCCAGAGCTGGCTGCCCTCCGCACGGAGGTGGGCGGGGATCCTGCAGGCCATGGGGTACCAGGGCTGGAGTGAGGGTAGTGGCATGGGGCGGCAGTGGGGCACGGCTGCGATACTTGTGGCGCTGGGTAAGGCCGGGGCTGGGATCTGGGTTGGGATCTGAGTATGAGAGCCAGGTCCAGTCTGGACTCAGGAGATGTGGGCATGGGGAACATCCTGTGCCTGGGATATCTGGGTGCTGGTGTCCCCTGCCTGCGCCACCCCAGGGAGGAGGTGGGTGTTGCCCCCAGAGGTCCCATGCTCACACCAACCCCTTGGTGCTGGCAGGGTATCTGGCCATGCTGCTGGCATCGGGCACCGCCTGCACCAACGTGTACCGAAGTGTCTCTGACTGCGTCCTGAAGCTGGGAGAGAGCATGGCCACATACGGGAAGGAGGACAGCATGGAGCTGCAGGGGCTGCACAGGGTCTGTGGGTGAGTACAGCGAACCTCTGCTTTCATGTTTATTTGCCTGCCTCCTTGCTAGGCACCAAGCAGATGGGAGCTGGCTATGTCCTGCTCTTTCTTCCCCTTTCTGCACAGAAAAACCAGCTCAGGGTGTGCAGCCTTCCCAGGACATGGCAGGATGCTGGGATGCAATGGGAATTTCTCAGTACTGTGTCTCTGAGCATGTGGGTTCTTGGTACTGGGGACAGCAGGGCACGCAGCACAGTGTGTGCTGTGTCTGGCTGCTGAGGGCTGATTCTTCTCTACTGAAACTTCCAGCTCCAGGGCAGGTGAATGTGTAGGAGGGGGCTTTAAACAGGGACATAAAATAGAAGGAATGGAGGAAGGGGTCTTCCCAGTGGGGCAGGGGTTAAGGAACTGGCTTGTCCCAGTCCTGGTGAAGTGATGACAGTGCATGACAAGCCTGCTGTGATCAGAGGAAAAAGACAGTGACGTCCCAGTTTCCTGCCAGGAACTATTTCTGAATGACTGGCCTTTAACCCCATCCTTTCTCTGCCTTCCCAGAATCATGGTCCTCTCTCTGGGTACATGACTTGGGGGTGGAAGTGGAGCTGAGAGCATTGCACCAGCAGCGTGGACATCTTGGTTCCCTAAGGGCTGTGTGACCGCAGCCCAGCAGCTGAGCAGGGGGGGCTGAGTGGGGCGAAACTGCAATGTGCCATCCCTGACCAAAAGCAGAAGTGGGTTGGGTGCTGCTTTGTGCCACCCTTTACCCAAAGGGGTGAGTCAGGCTAAACCCCCACCTTGCCTGGCAGCAGGCTCTCATTATCTCAGGATATTTATTCTGCCACGGTGACTCTGTTTAATGAACTGGATCACAGCTGGCATTCTGACTTCAGCTTGGTAAGAAAACTAAATAAAGTTCTCTCGTCTGCGTGTCTGGAGGAAGGTGCCAACTCCAGCACCGGGTGCTTAGACAAAACCAGGCTGTGCTGTTCTGGTGCTGGGGTCTGTGCTCTATTGCTGGGCTGGGATGTGAGCCTGGGGGCCCTGGGTAGCAAAGGTGCAGAGCCACTGCTTTTCTTTTTGAAGGGAGACCTGGGGAAGGTTAGCAGCAAGCATGGCTTAGAGCCTAATCTATCTTGGGGACAGGTTATCATTCTGAGAGAAACCACAGCTTCAAACCACACTGGTGAACCGTTCTGAGGTCTTGCTTGCAGGTGCTGGGGAGCTCTGCCAGCCAGTGCTGCCCGTGCCAGCTGGAGGAGTCACCAGGGCTGTGGCTCCAGGGCTGAGCACAGGCCATGGCATTCGCTGAGACTTTCAGGCTCCTGCTGGTTTATTTTGTGGGTTTGCATCTACAAAGTAGAGACCTCACCTGTGAGCTCAGCTGTGCTGGGACATGCTGTTGTGCTGCTGTTCACACAGCAATCTCCTAGGATGTCATCATCCCCTCCCCAGCACAGTGCAGCACTATACAGCAGCCTTTGCTTCTGGCACTGAGTCAAATACTCTGATAGTCCCAAATACTCTGCAACTGAAATAATCTAAATAAATCTCCTCCACAAAGCAACATGCCAAACCCAAACAGACAGAGATGCCTGCTCCAGTCCTCCCCATGCAAGGCAGGGAGGCACGGCTCTGCCTGATGCCTGGTGTCTTCACCTGGGGGGCAGCTGGAGCTCATCCACATTGCTCTGCAGCTGTGGGCAGAGAGCTTATTGGGAACAGCTCAAAAGCAGCTTCTCCAGAGCCAGCTGGCTTCTTTAGCAAAGGTAAGCAGGAGCTGAGGGGCAGACGCAGCACAGGGCTAGTGCTGGAGTGTGCTAGGCCAGCAGGACTGCACCCATCATGCTCTATGTGGAAGTCCTGTTGGGATGCTGAACCTTTAAGCTTTAATAGAGTGGGTGTTTCCTGTTGGGCTGCTCTCTGTGCTGGTCCTGGGGCTCAAAATATTGAGGCTGCAGATGTTTGCAGGGTTGACTGGGCTCTGCCTGCTCCTTCATGCTGTGATACAGTAAGGGAATTAATGGTGTGGTTCTCTGCTGCAGATACTGGGACGAATTTCATGTCTGTGCCCTGACTGCTCTCTGGGAGTGCCAGAAGGAAGCGGCAGCCATCTGGGAGATGCTGAGGAAGGAGTCCCGAAAGATCAAATTCCAAGGCAGCCTGTTTGACCTCTGCAATCCCAGCACAGCCCAAAGCTTTGCCTGTATCTGCATTCCCCATGTGTCAGTTCTTAGCATCCCCCTCATCATCACTTGGCTGAACTTATAGACCTCAGCTCCGTAAGTATCACAGCAAAGGTGCTGGCAGTACACTGGGGCTCCTTTCTGATGGTTTGCTTTTCCAGACCTTTGAGGAACACAGTGTGCAGTACCAGCAGACCCTCAGCTCTGCCCCATGTCTGTGAGACTGAAGAGTTCAGCAGCATCTCGTGGGTTTCGCTATTTCTCTGTAATTTGGGACATTTGTCCCCTTTGGCCTCAGGGCACAAGCAGAGCTCTGGCTGCCTGCAGGGGATTTGGGGGAAAATGGGAAGTGAGTCACGAATACCAGATTCTTTTTGGACCTTTCCATGGCTCTTGTATGGAAGCCTGTTTGTTCAGCTGCCTGTTTCCACAATGTCAGCTCTCCAGGTTTTTGATTTGGGTGCTGGAAACTTGTGAGGGCAGGGGATGGTGTACGTCCTGCAAAGAGCACAGAGGTGCTGGCTTTCTTTCTGGGAGGACACCCTGAAAACCCTGCTAAAGAATAGCCACAGGTGCATGACCTCTTTCCTAGCACATATCTGGACTCCCAAGTAATTCCTGTGTTATGTGTAGATCACTTTTCTAAGGAAATGAAGAGGCAAGAAAATCTTTGGGTGGGGGGGAGATGATGTTAAGCAACCATGACAAAACCTTTCTAAAGTAACTCTTTTACTTTGATGTTTTTCCCAGTAGTACTTGTAAGCAGCTCTGTGGGTGACTGTGTGTAATTTTATAGTATTAAATTCTGTTGCAGAGATTGAAACTATTTGTCCTGCCTCCTGTTTGCAATGCAGCCTCTTCTAGCCCCCTTTGCAGCTCAGAGCACTGTTAGTTTTGCAGCTTTGGTACAAGCACAGAAAGTATTTGCCCTAGAGAGGTGCTTGCATGCAATTTCTGGGTATGCTAGAAAGACTGTTATTGGGAATACAATGCAGTTATGTGTGCAAGGATACTCAAAAAGCCCTGCCTTACTGTGTAGGGGAGGAGGAGCCACAGGGACCCAGTGTGGCCTGGGGCCAGTGGTTCTCCCAGGGGAAGCACAGTCTTGCTTGGTCTTTCCCCTGCTTTCAGTTCATGCCCTGCAGAATACTGCCACTCCTGAATGGGGAAGGAGCTGGTTTTCATCACGCTCTGCATTAGTGCTTAACAGCTGGATGTGGCTGTGAATTTCATGTTCTAATTAAGAGAACCATCTGTTTTTCATCAGATTTGAAATGTCTGTGTTTAACTAACAGGGTATTTCAGTCTGCCTTACCTAAATATGTCACACATCACTCTGGCTGTTTTCAGACTGGCCACATGTCAGGGCACTTGCTTTGTTTTTAGGACAGGAGTAGTGGTTTGGGGTTTTTTAATGACTGCTCGCGTTCCTCTCCTGGCACTCATGCTTTTCCTCTTACTACTCTCTCATTTACCCATTCAGCTCCTGCAGCTGCAGGATGGAATGAATGAATGGAGGCAAATTCCAAGAATTGAGATGGGGAGGAGCAGCTGGTGTTCAGACAGCACTCCAGAGCAAGGTTGAACCCAGGCCTTCAGCAGACGAGTTACTCATGTATTCAGCATCTTTGGCACAATGCCTGACAACAGGCAGTGGAGAAAGGGGGAGCCAGGGCACTGCAGAGCCCGCTCTGAACCACGACGCTGCTTTGGTTCTCCTCCCTGCTCTGCTCCAACAACAGTGTATGCTATTCCATGCTGTTCTCCCTTCCCTCTTTTGCTTCCTCTTCTGCTTATGATTCATAGTGGGGGGGAAAGCTGAGCAGGTGGGCATCTGAGGCTGCAATCTTTGTATCCAGCTCACTGTACTATCTTTGTTTTGAATAGGGGTTTTATACCTCTAGGGAGACAAAGCACAACTCTCAACATTTCCCTTCCTTAGCTTCTCTTTGAATTTGGCAGCTTCTCTTAACATTTTCAGTGTTTGGATGGCTTTGGGGAAGGGGAATGTAAAAGTCTGAGCAGAGATCTAGAAGTCATCATTTGCAAAACCTTGGTTGCAGATGGCTAGCTGATGCTACTGTTGTCTGTGAGAAGAGCAGGTGTTGTGGAAAATCTTCCCTGGAAGCAAATAATTCAATCCATTGCACACATGAAAAAAAGAAGTTTCATTAAGAAGCAAAGACCATCTGCCACCATTCAGGTATGGAGCAGCAGAAATTCTTAAAGCCAAAGGTGCTGCTAAGATCTAACTGAATGTGAATGCAAGTGAAAACTAGGTCTCACAATATGACAGTGATGAATTTCAGAAGCTCCCTCCTCAATCTGTGTGTAGTTTTTAGCAAAACTTCCCTTGTAACTCAGACAACTACAGTAAGTTTTCTTCATTTAAAAAAAAAAAAAAGCACTATTTGGATTTAATTCTCAAAGGGAGCAGACTTAAAAGCCTTTCTATTCCCATAGCATGCTTCGTGCTAACGCAATGCAGTGTGTTGGATGTCCCACAGCCTCAGCATTAAATCCAGGTGCACCAAGGACTCTTCTCATGGCCCTGCTCTGCCTAAGGATCTCCAGCCATAAGGCTGCATCAAAACTTCACATCCTCCTGCAGGGGTGGTCATTGAAGCACTCAAAGCCTATCTTATCATTCAGAAAGTAAGGAAGGAAGCATTCTTTGGTCTGAAGTTTTCATCCTTGGTCTTCCAGGAGAACAAAGATAGCATCTCTTTAATACAAGCTCGACAATCCCAGGGTCAGCTGTCCATTTTCCTTTAAGGAATGGGGGTACTGCAACTTCCCTTCCTCTGCCTGTTCCCAGGGAACTGAGATGTCCTCCCCTGCTGTTTGCTGTTGGTACTGAGAGGGAACAAAATGACCCTGAAAGAGCCTTAAAATACAACCGATTCCGAGCTGGATTCTGGCAGCCCCAAGGCACTGCGTGCCCTCTGCCCTCTGCTGCCCGGATCCCAACCACGCATGCACACCTCCTTTCAGAAGGAGATACTGGCACCTACTGGAAGGCCGAGCGCTGCTGCTAGGCTGAACGTGACTGGAAGGAAAGCAAGGATCCTCAAATATGAGAAACCAAAAAGCCTGGAGCAGCGATGAAAAGCCTTGCTGAACACACAGCAGAGTTAGAGGGGAAGCAGTAACAAATGACAGCTGAACTTGTGTTAACTTTTTCATCTGAAAGACTGCTGCTATCCATATGATAGCACTAAAATTGAGCTTAAAGGGGTTTTGGTCAGGAAGAGGTCTTGGTGAAGTCTCAGACCACCAGAAGCTGTGCCTAAGCACATGTAACCTGCAACGCTTCCTTCTCTGCAGCAAACTTGCCAGGTATTTAAAACACTTTGATATCAATCTGCCCAAATTCACAGAATGTGGAAGTAGGACTTGAAATACAGTTCCCCCAGTAACAAAAGAGCAACTTCAAGGAATTTCCCATCTGCAACTCAAATCATCCCATCAATTCTCAACAAGCCAAATTAGCAGGCAGTTTGCACAAATTAACATTTACAAACATTAACGTACAAAATAAAACTACCACAGCCAGATGTGCACAGCAGAAATTCTTCCTTCAGAACACGCCTTGCCCTCTTTCAGGTTCTTGCAAACCAAACGCCCCTCAGTGGCCGCCCTGCAGGATGCAGGTCTGCTTGTGCGGGCTGCGGGTCCCGAGGGAACCGCTCGGCCTTACCTCCTAGCAGCGACGCCGCTGTTTGTGAGCGCCCCGTGCGTGGGGTTACTGGAAGCGCCTCTAGAAGAAAGCACATCCTACCTCTCTCAGAAACAAGCGGCGGTTTCTCACCTGAAATAAACATCACCTCAGCCAGATCAGACCTGCTGTGGGTCGTTTTTCTTTATCTCCCCCCCCCAGTCAGAGGTAAGAACCAGGTAAATATGAACAGCTCTTGGAAACCTTTGCAGGCTTATCTGAGCCAGCTCCAGCCTAGGACAGAGCGTGTGGAGCCCTGGGCTGCTGATGCTCCTCCTGAAGTGAGCATTATGCTTGCTGATTTCCCTAGACAGCACTCACAGATGCACTGATTACAGAGGAGAGGTACAAGATATTTACTGCAGGAACAGGGGGCAGCCTACGAATTATGTTCTTCTCTGGCTGTATCCTCCTCTGTTGCCATGATACAAACATTCGTGGTATTTTCTGAAGTGCTCAGCTTCCCAGGAGAACTGTCACGTGTTCACAGCAACGTAATACTTTTATTGTTACAAAAGATTTCTTCAGCAAACTGCTGTCTGACATCTCTATGTATTAAACGTGGAAAGAGCAAACAACCCCATCTAACGTTACAAGGTTTTTAGGGTCTCAGCTGGTGATTCAGGTAAGTACAGCCATATTCTTTCTTACCCCATTCATTCACTTCCTTGACTTTTTTTCCAACCAAAGCACAGACAAGTGTCAGCTCAGACGCAGCAGCTCCCAGCCCCACTGCTCATAGTGCCAGCTCCTGCAAAACGAGCTGACTATTGCAGTACCCATACAGGGACCTTTCACATTTGCTAAATTCCAGATGCTCCTCCTTGTGAAGTTTTGCTACCTGGCTTTTAACAGTCTCAAGAGTGAAGAGTTTAAGAGCACGCTTGCCATACAGTCATTAAATGCTTAGTGTTAATAAAATAAACATCTTCTCCTCCTCTGTTATCTGATGATGACAGAGATGCTCACACTCACGCAGTCCTTAAAAAAAAAAAGTCTCAACAGACCTGCTGTGCTTCTTCAGTGATGACTTTCAGGCATTAGATGTACTTGTGCTGGAAACAATGACGCAGTGCAGCATGTTGTTGCCAGAGCAAGTTACACATTGGATTTGGGAGCAGAATTCAGTGGGATTTCCCTAAGTTCTATCCTCATGCAGAGGTACTCCCCAATTGCAGCCATCAGTGCCGTGCACACGATGTGCACCAGCCACCACGTCAGAGTCGAGGGAAAGTGCGAGTTATAAATCCAGCAGCCCAGCAGATGGAAGAAGTGAACTGTGACTGTGAAATCCAAGCACTGCTTTCCTCGCCGGATAAAGTACAGCAAGCCCAGAGCACTGCAAAGTAAAGACAGATGAATAAACAAGCTGCACTATGCCTATGGAAAAGGGGTTACAGCAAGAGCTAACAAGTTATTGGTGCTGCTAATTCAGTTGTTTCAAAGCTTCTCAGTTGTTTTAGGGATAGGTTGTTTCTCACCTTACAGATGCAGCCACAAGATTTAAGTGGCTTACAGCATTTTAATTACACAATGGCAGGGAAATGAGCTTTCAGCTTAAAAAGCCTGACTGGCCCTCTGTATGATCTCCCCCAGTAATCTCTGCCCAGCGGCAGGTGCAAGGTACAATGCTGTTTATAGATCAGTTTGCTGAGACTCATTAATTCTAACTTTAATCTCTCACTGAGACGGTGAAGTCAAATGTCTTATCCAGTATCTAGAAAGTCACCTTTGGAGTCAGCAGTTCCCACCTGCACTCCTCTCCAGACAAGAGCAGGGAATAACCTGATCTCAGCAGACATGCTCACCAGGCACTGGGCTTCCATGAGATGTTTTGGGAGAGGCAGTAAACTATGCTGAATTCTCTTAAAGTTCAACGTTATGAAAGAACAAGCTCGAGACACCAGAACCGTTAGAAGTGCTGTGTGTGCTCCAGCCAGTTGCTGACTTACCAGGTGAGTGCATTGAGGACAAAAGCCATCATGGAGAGCCTCCCAGGCGGAGTCGAGAAGCCTAGAATCTACATAGCATTATTAGTAAGAAATCACAGCACAAATGACAGCCCACAGCCCAGCCACACCAACTCCCTGCGTTGGTTACAGTCAGTACAAGGAGCCCCAGCCGTCACAGCAGTCCTTCTGGTGGGTCTGTGTCTCTGCCCGGGACACCTGTACAGAAAGAGCTGCTGGATCCACACTGACAGACCGCAAGGTGAATGGGACGTGCCCAGGGCGGGCTCACAGAACCGTGTGAGCTGGAAGGGCCCTCTACAAGCTGTTCAGTCCGACTGCCCTGCAACGAGCAGGGAGCGGAGGGGCTGCCTTCAAACAGGGCTCTTCCCATACAGCCAGCTGCCAGCGGGACACCGGCACAGAGCACGGGCCGGCCTGCCTCAGGGCTGCCGCGCGGCGGGAAGCGCAGACGGACACACGGACACACGGACACGGCCTGGAGCCCCGCAGGGCCCACCGCCCGCACCCTTACCTCATCGCTGAAGATCTGATGGAGGGAAGGCCCGGTGCTGCCGAAGGCGCCGAGGAGAGCGAGCCAGAGCCCGAGCGAGCTGTAGTAGGCGGCCTGCAGCAGCACCATCTGCGCCACGATCAGCGCCGGGTCCCACACGTAGCTGCGGAACTGCGCCGCCATCGCCCGCCCGCCCGGCGCGACGGAAGCGGCCTCGATGGGCGGCGGCGGCGCGGCACGGCGCCCCCTCGCGGGCCGGAGGACCCCGCGCTGTGCGGTGTCCGCGCCGCGAGCCCCTCCGGTCCTCAACGCCTTCCGGCTCCAGGCTGAGCTCCGCCGGCGCGGGCAGCGCGGCCCAGCGGTGCCCGCAGCCCTGTGTGAGGTGGAGAGGAGCCCACGGCCCTGTGGGTGTGGAACATTTCTGGCTCTGGGAACTCAGACGCGAATCTCCGCTCTTCTCTCGTGACGTTTTGTTCCGTTTCCCAGTACGGAAGTTCCGCGGGCTGCCTTGCTGCGTGGTTCTCCTCCCTCGTGCTGCGGGTGTCACCGTGGTGATGTGTGCTGGGCTCGGCTCCCTCCCTATTCCCAGACCTGATGCTCCCGACAGGATTGCACAAAGCTGTGGGCTGTGCCCGCCGAGCTTTGGCTTCGGGCCTGTGGAGGAGCGGGCTGTGCCATGGCTTACCAGCTCCATGAGTGCAGAAGTGAGCATGGGAAAATCCCAGACCTCTCGGGCTGCCTGCTGGCAGCACATTGCTAAGCATGAATTGTGAGATCGGCACTTCCTCTGTTAACTCTTAGTAGAAATTGGTTTCCTTTCCTGAAATCTGCCGTGCTTGCCTCTATAAGACGTGCAAGCCATCACTTTGCTAATTTCCACTTCCTTATTTCTTTTTGAAGCTCTGTAGGACTAAATTTCCTCTGCCAGCAAAAATGAGAGTTGTTTAGTCATCGCTAACCAAAACCCCAAGCTCATGTCACAGAGCTCCTGGCAGGGCTGATGATATAATTTCTGGGTATCTTTCCACACCACAGTCCTCAGCAACAGAATTTCTGCTTTACGCAGTCTTCCCTACAATCACAAGGTAGTAGATGATGTTTCAGGAGATACTGACCTGAATTCCCTCCAAAATTCAAGTCTCCTCCCTGCTTGGTCGCTGCCCCATAGCTGAAAGTAGCCGTGATGTCAGACATGGGTACAGACTGCCTCTGGGACAGGGAACATAACAGAGGCAGTGAAGCGCCGTGGCACAAAGGTTTGTGCTCAGTCCAGGGGCTCAGCTGCACCCCAGCTGCACCATCTCATGAACGTGAAGGCATTTCCTGGCTGGCTTGGCAATAGCATGCTGCATGGCTGTGTTTGTCTGACTGCATTCCCTGTGCCCGGCTTGTCATCCTGGCCAGAGGACTGTGTCCTCCTCCTGAAGCAGAGGACATTCTCTCCGAGGGGAGCTTTGCCTCACATCCCTCTCAGTGGGAAGGGTTAAAGTGGACCTGAAAGGGAATTGTTTGAGGGAAAACAAGTGCATTTTCTATTTCCCTTTTCTTCATGGTTGAAATGAAAGTTGGAGGCAGCTGCTGAGGGAAGATGTGTTAGAAGAGAAAAGGATGTTGAAACACAGAGATCACTGCTGTACATGTTTCTTGCCTGGCTTCTGATTAAATGTCCTTTTCTAAAGAGCAGACAGCTTTGTGTGTGACACCTGCATGTCACCCACAGGTGAAAGAAGAAATGGCAATATGCCCAGGACACAGCACGTACCTACAGAAAGTGCCCAGATCACATGTAACTTCTTTATCAGCAGTATGGAACAAGAATATCTTATTTATCCGGTGATTCTTTCCATGAGGAATGGGTGTATAGGGTATGGCATTCTTCCTACTCAGGAATCATTTCCTAGAACAGGAAGCTATTTGTTTAGGCCATACGTCTTTTACCAACTGAAGTACAAAGGGCATCTGAACTGATCTCTGTTCACCTGTCCTTTCCCAGGCAGGTAGGAGTGTTTAAAAACTCTCCCTAATTTTTCTCAGTGCTAGAGAATCCAGTGCTAAGCCCATTTTAAAATCCACCTGTAGGAAGTGTGCTGAGCTTGGCTAAAAAATCTCTTTTCCGAGGAAATGCAGTAGAATTTGTGATCTAGCATTATTGAAGAAGGCTCAGCATCTGGCCTTCTCAGGATCAGACATATCTTTACCTGTATAAAACTATGATTTCCCTCACCCTCCAAATGAATTATAGCTGGACACTGCGTGCTACATCCAGTGTGTTTGTATCACAAGCTGGGACTCGGCAGGTGTTTTTATTTTCAGGGTAGAGCTGGGGATGGAAAAGTGGGTTAGGAACAATCGTGGCCTGCCTATGTTATTTCTCTGCCAACTGTAATTTTGATTGTGAAAGGGAACTGATACACCTTGACTGTGAACATTCGCTGCCCAGAAATGTGAGGCTCAGTGTGTGTTTTTTCTTTCTTCTCCTTCTGCTTCCCTCACTTTCAGTGAGGTTTCAAGAAAGTGCATCTCAGCTGTGTGTTTTTCTGCCTGGGTCCATTTGTCCTGTCACTCTCCCTGAATGTCTCATACCCACAATTTTTCCGTGTTGTTCAGAGAGGAGAATGTCATTGTTTTCAGAGGAGACATTTGAAGGGCGAAACGAAGCCGAGTGTGATATGCCATGGTTTTAAAGAACCACATTATGATTTCAGTGGCTGCATTTCCTCTCTGATGATTGCTTTTGAGACACTGCGGCAGAAACTTTGTGTGCGTGTGGTAGAAGGGTGCATCGATAAGACACACTGTGAAAATGTCATTGGTAGAGTTATGTAAATTTGTATCAAGGCTGGAAAGTCCGTTCTAATTGAGTTTAATTTTCCCTTCTGTTTCCAGAAGCCCAAGATTCCTGTCGCTTTGTTTGCAGGATTATGCACCCAGGTGTGGCTGCGATGGACACTGCCCAGCACATTCTGTTGAAGCAGAGATCAACGTGATCAGAATTTCCTTTGGAGGGAAAATGATGTTTCGTGCCACACAGAGAGATTTTGTAGCAGTGTCGAGATATGTAATAACCAGGAAGAGTACGGTCTGTGGTGCTTGTATCTAGAGGAAATTAACGGAAAAGTCAGCAGTGTTTGTAGCCACAACACAGACAACTGGTTTTGAAAGCACCTTTGTGGTTACTGCCTTACCTGGAAAGAGGGGTTAGCAGGGCCGTGGCCACATGCACACAAGTGTAGGAGTCACACAGAGGTTTAGGGAGAGTTGCACTGCTTCTGTCCGCACTGTGCTGCTGAGGCTGTCTCCTGTCCAGCAGATGTTGTCATGCATATCAACCCATGCAGCATGCTCTTGTTCCCCTCCACCTCCTGCTACCTGGCTGTGCAGGCGCCCAGAACTGGATGCTGACTGCAGCCAGGCCCCCTGCCTGCTCTTCCATGAGCTCCCATGGGTGACGAAGAAGGGCAGCAATCCAGCTCGTGGCAAGCAGCCCTTCCTCATAGCCTTGGTGGCCCCGGGGGCTGGGGAGAACGAAAGGTTTAGTGAGAAATTGCTGGGCACAGAGGGGCTGGTACTCAAGAAAACTCCACCATCACCTCCGGCCTGCTTCTTACCCTTACCTAGAGGAGTGCTCTCTTCAGATTTTATTTGATCAAGCTCAGAGCAGCACTCCTTGTCAGTTCATATGATGCCAACTGCTGATGAAGTGATGAGGAGAGTCTCCTGCCAGCAAAGCCCCAGCTGCAGGCGCAGTGCTAACACAAACTGATGAGACCTCTTGGCCTCTGCTCGTACCCTTTGTACCTATTTCTCCCCAAAGGCAGTTGGAAAGGCTGCTTCACCTGTGAGACTGCTTTGTTTGTGGGCTTGTTAGCATGTAAATGTGGGACGGGGGGGCAGCTACATGGTCTCATGGGTTAGCTTGGTAGTGTTGGAGTGAGCTGAGAACCAAATCTAGCAGAGTTTGCATCCACAACAGGCTGATGGGACCATGGCACACCTTGCTCTGTCAGCTGGGTGTTGATTCCCCAGTCAGAATGTATGTTATTCTCAGTAAGGTAAAGCTCAAATGCAGTGCAATGCGATTGAGTGAGCGAGGCACGGGGACAAGGGGCATCCCGTGTGGTTGTTCAGGTGAACCCCGGGCTGTGCAAGGGCAGAAGTGGATGCTGCCAACAGACACAAGCAAACGCTCAGCGTGGAGCAAAGTAATAAATGGCAAAGAAGGAAAAAGAAAACACACACACAAACCATCTGAGATAGTTAAACCGTGCTGGAGATGGGTGTTGTTTTTTATTGGCCGCGTGGTTGATTTTTTTTTTTTTTTGACGCTTCCCTCTTGCACAGAAAAGAGACGGAGCGGTTTCATTTTCCACCTCCAAGCAGAACCGCGTGACGCAACGCACCGCTTCACAACCGCGGCGACGACGCAGCGGGAGGCGGACAGAAAACCCCTCCGCTACCTGCGAGCACAACACTCTCGCTTTTGGAATGCTGCGAAAACCAAACCGGCGCATTCGCTTTCCCTCTTTCCGTTTCTCCCACCTCTCCTAGCCCCCCTCCCCTCTTCCCTCTCCTCTTTTCTCTATTCTCCGCACACACCCCCGTCCTCTTCCCTCCTCCTCTCCCCATCAGCCGCTGTCTGTTCCAGCCGGGATGGGACACGCAGCACACGACACTTCGCTTCCCCCCATCCTCTTTCGCCGCGGTCTGCGGGCATTCCCGGCGGGGCGGGGCGGGGCGATGCGGTGTTGTTCGCTCCGCCTCCTCGGGCAGCACCGCGGTTATAAGCGGCGCTGCAGCGGAGAGCGGGCAGAGCTGCCGTCGTCCGCGTTGGCCGTTGGGTTCCGTTCCGAGTCAGCGCCCCGCACCGCCTCGCCATGCCGCTGCTCCGCGCCGCCTTCCTGCCCTTCCTGCTCGGCCTCCTGCTGGCCGCTGCCGCCGCCGAGTCGGTGAGTGCCGCTTACCCCGCAGCCCCGTGGCTGTGTGCCGCTCCTCCTCCTCCTCCCTGTTTGCCACTTCTGCCTTCTCCTATCGGCTGCGGCGGAATGAGCGCGGGGTGTGCGGGTGCGTCGTAGAAACGAACCGCTCTCCGTTCCGGCTTTGATCTCCAACTGCTGCTTATGGACTTATTGGCCTTTAATCCCTCTTTTATTGCCGCTTTATGATAGCTTTGGTGAGCAGTGCGTTGCCGCATCTGGGTGCGTGTTCCTGTCGTACTGGGACGTGCCTGTGTTGCTTCCTGCTGTCCTCGTGGCTCTCGGACCAACCTTGCTTTTCTAAGGGAATGGATGAATAATTTAAGACTTCTCTAAGCATACCATAAGAAAGTAAAATAAAGAAGGTGTAATGCTTTAAGCTGGTACCTGTGGTCTTCCTGTGAAGCAGAGGTCTTGGGAGTCTGCCTTCCCTGTTTGTATTTGTGCCCCTCTTCCCGACAGCACAGGATCTCTGTGTCCATTTGAAGGAGTTGCTGGTGTTAATATAATTATTGCAGGAGATGTAAGGATCTCAAAACTAGGTTTGATTATCCATGTCGCTCTGCTCTGTGAGGATCTGGCGTGCAGATAAGCACTGGGCACTGCTTTCCAGTAAAGGCAGGCTGGGGGGCTGCTGGTTGTGAAGTGGGAACATCACACAGGACGTCAGCAGCGATTGTCAGCTGCTCTCTGCTAAGGGCAACCAACTCCAATCCACTTTGCTCTAATCTGGTGCTTTTATCCCTGCTATTAAGCACGTGAATTGTGCCTTCAAGAGCTGGCCCAAACCAGTAGGGCAAACTTCTGGGGCAGACAGCATCTGGAAGCTGCATTGACCATGTTTGGTATGAAATGCAACTTGATGTCTCTGGAGAATGGAGTGGACTGTGAGCATCGAATTTCTGCAAAGACAACAAATTTTGAGCAGATGGATTCTGTAGGTCCTTTTGCAGAGCCATATGGAATGTTTGTCAGTGTCTTCTTGGCTGCATCAGGCAGGCTGTGCGCTCCAGCAGTAATACTGACCTACTCCAGAGTCCTGTGCAAACAAACAAGTTTAGGTTTCAGGCTGCCAGGGAGGAGACAGGATGACAAAGTTTGAGAGAGCGCTGCTGCTGCTCCTCCTCTTCGTTTTTATAGCCTTGCCAAAACGTGCAGGGCTGCACAGCATGCGGCAGGGTGAAGGCAGGTAGCTGTTTCTTCACAAGACAGGGATTGTATTTCTTGTGCTTACGTAAGAGTATGGCTTCTGAGAGTGATTTGGTGCCTGAACGTTACCCTGAGCCTGTGCAAACAGAAATGCTTTGGCTCCTTTCCCCTCGCACGGGTTGTTGGCATGGATGGGATTTGTCGGTATGAAGCAATCCTGGATGTGTAAAAGGGTGGGGACTGTGAGCAAAGTGCCTGAGTGTGACGTTGGTGCCGGGGTGGTGGGTGGCTGCCTTACTGCAGCTTGGTGTGAGGACGTCACCTTGTTCCCTGTTGGGGGTGGGGGCTTTCCAGCTGGATCTGTGCTCTTCAGCCCTCCCTGAGCAAGTGCTCCAGGGAATAAAGGCTGTAGGGAGGGCTGTGCTGGGTGTCCGAGGGGTTTTGGGGAGAAGGGTGGGAAGCCAGCAGTGCAGCTAGTGTATGGGATGAGTGGAGCTAAGGAGGAGCGGGGCAGCATTGCAGAGCTCTGCCTGAACTTCTGGCATCTAGCTGGCCCCTGGCAGCATGGGGAGAGACATGAGTATTCCCAGCAGTAGTGTCTTTGCTGCAGGCTTGAGCTGCTCCTGTTGTTAATGCTACTGAAGAAGACTGCTTCTGCTGTGAGCTCAGCAGTGCGAACGGTCTGCAAGCTGCAGCCATCCTGCTTTGCTGCCTCAAAGAAAGCAGAAAGTTTCCACGCAGTGCTGCGTTGTGTTTGTGCATCCCCAGCAGCGCAGCCGAGCAGAAATCCATCCTGAAAGCTGCTGGCTGAGGAGGGTGCAGGGAGGGGGGGAGGCCTCGTGCTGGCTGTGGGCTCCATTTCTGGTTCAAGGCAATCATGCTTGGAGGACTTCTGATTGGCAAAGCCGGTGTCTTGTTGATGATAGCCATGTTTGGAAAGTAGTACAGCATTATTAATGTTAAAACCGGTTTGGCTTGTCCTGCTGCCATTGATCCCCCAGGCCTGTTCTTTCTGCTCTTTGCCCAGTTTCTCATCTGTCCCTCCCAATCAAATCAAGACACAGCTATCTGTGTGTTTTACTTTTTTACTTAATGACTTGGCTAGCCTGTGGGGCAGCTGAACATCTACAGCAAATCCTGGCTTTTGCCTTGGCCTACCTAAAATGCAGTGGTAGGATTGGAACTGGGAGGTGATGCCCCTGGCTCCTGAAGGGAAGGAGCCTGTGGCTTTTGGTGGCCAAGCCTAGAGCTGATTGTCATGATGAATGCTGGGAAGGTGTGGAAGATGGTATGCTCTCCAGTGCCTGGTACCTTGTTGGGAATGGCTGGTGGAATGGAAACTGGGGGCTGAACTTTGAGGCTTGTTGGCTCTCAGAAGTTAAGGCAGCTGGACAATGTGACTGCTTGTTTTCCTGCCCCTCCTGCTGCTGTCTCCCAAGACCTTGGCATTTCAAGGTCCTGCTGAGGTCTGTATCCAGTCCAACAGTTGTGGAAATGTTTTTTCCTATGCGTCTTCACCTCTTCCCTCTTTTCTGAGCCTTTGCTGTTGCTTTCTATGCCTGAATGTTTGGGGTCAGGAGACTATTCCCTGTTCTCACCCTGCCCTGGTGTGCTTGGAGTGGCCCATCACTTTCCTGATGCACTTGTCCCACTTCCATGAGGCTGGAGGCTGCTCAGAGTGCAGACTTCAGCAGAATTCTTCCCTTCTGAGTCCCACTGCTGGGAAATGCTCTGGAAGTGTGCTGGCTGGCTGATGGCTCAGGACTCCCCAGCTAATACTTTGGCTAGATAAAAATGGAGCATCCATCCTTTGAAGCACTTCTTTGCTCTCAAGTTAAGGTTTATCCTCTCCAGATTGCTCTTAAATCCTTGCAGCTGGATTCTCGCCACAGCTCAGTACAGCTTGTTCCTCGATGCCCTATGATGACAGAGGGGTCCTGCTGCTTCTGTAGCCTCAGACGTGGTGCTAATGCAGCTGAAGCACTAAAACTGGACAGATCCAGCATGTCTGACCTCTGGGCTGCTGTTGTGGAGAGTGTGTGGCTGTTTGTTGAGACGGTGTGGAATGCAAACACTTCAGATTAAGGATTCAGATGATCTGCACTAGAATGAGGCTGTTATGATGAGACTGGGCTTGGTGGCTCTGAATAGACACAGCAGCCTGGAAGGAGTTGGTGCGTAATGAGCTACTGCACGGAGGGGCTGTGAAGGATCCCATGGTGATGATCTGTTAGGGCTGCATTTCTGGATTAGTTTGGATTTCTTTTTTTGTTTTTTTTCTCTAATCGTGCTCTCAGATGTCCGGTAAGTGCTGCTACCTTGGTTCAGCTCTGCTGTGTGCTGTCAGCCCTGCAGCAGCAGCGTGTGACTCAGGGTTTCTGGCACTCAGCTCCCTGAGACTGCTGTCACTGTGTGAGTAACGGCTCTGCTCTGGCCCCAATGCAGTGACTCAGACTTGCTTGGCACTGGGGCACAGTGCTGGGTCCCTTATGGGGGAAGGAGAGAGGTAAATACAGAGCTGGTGCTGCTGAGCAGCCAGGCTGTGCTGTCTGACTGCTGTCTCCTGTCTCATCCGTCTCAGTTTGTTGCTCTCTGCCACGTTACTGCTGCCACAAGCTGAGTTAGTGTTGGCGAAGGCTTCTGAGAAATCAGTGTTGTCTCAAGCAGCCACTAACTTGCTCTGGCAGCTCCATGGGTGCTGCCTTTTCAGACAGATACAGCTGGATGGGGAGAGGAGGGCCGTGATATCTGAAGTGACCGAAAGTGTTTGTAGCAAGGCAGAGGAGTGGGAAGTCGTAAAGAGGAGGCTGAGTACTGAATTCCGAATCTAGAGAAAATGTCAGCGTAGGAGGGGGAGGCACATAAGACATAGCTACATAACTCTTGATTTCCAAAGGCTGTCTGACTTCAGAAATACCCTTATTGTAAAAGCCTTGTTTTTGCTAGAAATATGTGCTTGTGTCGGTTGTATCCGTCAGTCTTCCGAGGCTGAGATTCTGCTTACAAAACACTGAATGGTTCTTGTTAGACAAATCATTGGGATAACTGAAAAATCAAAGCTGTTAATTAAAATGTCAGCGAGACACTCCTTGGGGTGGGAAGGAGACTGCTAGGCACGTAGTGCGTTACCCAAGCAGCCTGTGTCATGTAGCAAAACCCAGGTTTCTTGCTTAAACAGATTGTGTTCTGTTGGTCAAACAAATTCAGTCTTGGGAAGGATTTCTGCCTTCTGATGTTGCCCAGTTTTGGCTGCTGAGAGGAAGACGTTTCCTTAGCAGTGTAAGCAGAACTGTGCTGCCTGTCTGCTGTAAAACCCCAAAGACAAAGTGCTGTGGCCCTGCCCTGTTTACCTTGCTGGGAGGCTGACCCTGCCTCCTGCCCTTTGGCTGCAGTTACAGTCAAACTGTAGCAATAAAAAGAGCTTTTGGTGTGCATTAATGACTGCACTGGGAAAGTGCCTGCCTTGGACATGCAGCAAAACAAGCTGAATTGCACAGTGGCTGGGGATCTTGATGTGTCCCAGGTCTGGTTTTGCTCTTGAGGGCAATGGGGAGGTGGGATGCTGAGCTGGGAGCAGCAGGGTT